ATGGGAAAGCTCAGACTGATTTACCTGAAATCCCTTGGCTAGTTATGCACTGGATCTGAATCCCATGTCCTCTGATGCAGTGGGGACTTACTCATTTTCCTATGCTGTCAAATTATCAATATTGAATACCCCATTAATTTTCAAAATATATTTTGAGATGTCTGAGTTACCCTGTAGGTTATGTGGAGCACATTTAAAAGACACTGTAAAAAGGTAAATTAACTTGTCTTTGTATTAGAAATCTAGGACTGCTAAAACAGAAACAAAAGTAGAGATGTGTCTTCAGGGCTGTAACCACCTATATCCCTCTGTGCAGATTTGCTTATTTTTCCAGCAATAGATGGACTCAGAGCTGGAGGTCAACTCAAGGAAACAGTGAACACCTTCTTTTGTAAGTCACCACTTTAGATTGGTAGTGGTGATTGGGAGGGTGAGGGTCCGAGTTGAATAACAGTGTTATATGGCAGAGAACTTGAACCAATCTTTAGGAGGAATATGGTATATCTAGATACTCTAGCAGTCATGAAGAATGAGGTAGATATAGATCTCCTAATAGACAATGATCTCTAAAAAATGATCTCTGTAACGTATTAATAATTTAAAATACGTAATTTTTACAAAGTGAGCCCATTAATGGGAAAAGCCATTCTGTATACTCGTATATGAGGATATGTATGTAAGTGCATAGAAAAAGACCTGAAAAGGTGCACATCCAAAGGTCATCAAACTCCAATTGGTGATGCCTGGGAGGGAGGTTAAGGGAGAATAAATATAATTAAATTTGGAAAGAAAGTTTTCAGTTTTTCGATATTGTTTGAATTTTCAATAAGGAAAATGTTTTTATTTACGTGTGATTCAAAAACATGAAGTATTTTCCATAGGGGGAGACCTGGAAGTGGATATTGTAGGCTAAAGGAGGTAAAACATGAGCAAAGGTATGAGGATGCTAAAATAGAGTGGTTAGTTACAATGCAGTTTTTATACGTGATAACAAGAGAGATGATCTGTGACTTATGTAGTCCCATATTATCAGTTGCAGTTCCGTTAAGGTAATGACATGTTTCAGTAGGTTTTTAAGTGGGTTAGGTAGATATATCCTTGGAAGCCAAATGGTTTGATGGATATCTCAGTTGGAAACCTAATTGATCTCACAGTCTTCTCCAGTGCGAAAAGCCAGATGCAGTGTGTGGTTCTTCTTGAGAATTTTTTCCCCTTAAGTCTAGGTGATCGTCAGGCAGAGGAGAACAATGACCAGTGTGTATTTTAAACGGAAGAAAAGGTACATAGCCAGGCTGCTAGCTTAAGGTTTGTTGTTATTGTGAAAGTACACGTCTCGATAACATTGGGGTTCTATCCACATGAAGAGTATGGGTAACCTTTTGTCTGCTTGCTTTGGGTACTATTCTGGGCAGCCTAGGTAGACATTTAGACAGAAGCACTTTCTCTGACTTAATTTTTCAGGAAAATAAATGCCATGTATAATGTATAAGAAGCAGATAGGCATATGTGCTGTGCTGTATTTCTTTTACATTCTGACGTGGTCTCTTTTGAAGCATTTAGTAATGTAAAGCATATGACCTAAGGGTTGCTTTTACAATTGATGCTCATTGTAAGGGCAAGCAACGTTTTTTCATATTGAAGTTGGAAAACTTAAACTTCTCAGTTATAGTAAAACTTGATTGAAAAAATAAAAGATGAAGGACAAGATGATAGCTTGCAATTGTTTGTGAGTTCGAGCTCTCACTCCAGAGGTTTATAGAATGTTACACATTATTTCTTGTGCCTGGTGTTAGGAGTCATTTTGATTTTTGGCCATTTAGTTGGTCTTTAATGATGAATGAGACCCTTTATTTCCCCCCCTGACTAAACTTTATTTCTGGGAAGTGGGAACAGAGGCTTAACATAAATGCCATAGTATGGTTTAGCTGTAAAATGTTCAAGGTTATTTGAAGAAACACTCAGCTAAATTAAGGAATACTTTTGGTAGTTCACTGTAGAAGGTCACAAGTTAGGGTAATGATTCTGTTGCCTAAAATAAGCAGACTATTTTTCTTTAGAGCAAAACAAACAGATGATACTAGAGAGCTCTGATGTATTGTTTCATATTTTCCTAAAAGGGGTAAACAACATTTTCTTCCTGCTCAGCTTTTCTGTTACATCTGTGTGTATTTTGAGGAGGAGAATGGCAAAGTGAGAGGGAATAGAGGAAGAATGGGTCAGAAGAAAGTGGGTTGAGTCTCTGAGAGACAGAGCTGCCTCTGTGGATTGTTTATTTACTCTTGCTAACTCCCACTATCTGGAAGAATATCTTGTAACAGGCATGTCAGTCTGTGGCAAAAGGAAATTGGTGTGGCAGGATTAATTCATTCCAAATCCATGTGGTTTTCAAGGATCTTTAAAATAAATGCAAGCTGGTATAGTGATCCATATTTTAACATTTTGAGCAAAGTGAAGCATGAAACAATCAAAATACATGCAGTATATAAACTTTACCAAAAATGACCTTTTCTTGAAAATACTAGAACATTTTGGATGTTATGAACAGGGGCATAATTATTGATTTGTGTTTTCAAACACTATTTCTCCGAAGTAGATTCCGTTTAAGAATCAGTTTTAAGAAATGAGTGGTACTTCATTAGTTGCCACAGAAAGAAATGACAATATACAAAACTAAGGTTAGTGGCTCCCTTGTTTTGAGTTCTTGTTATGTTATTGACACTGATAAGCTCTTGACTTATATTATCTCATTTATGTTTCTCTAATGGTATAGTTATTATAATTACTATATCATTTTCCAGGGAAGGAAACCAAAAATAAGAAAAGGTAGCAGGTATTAAGTGGTGAGGCCAGGATTATTGCTTAGGTAACTTTATAGAATCCCAGTTCTTAACTGTTACATTATAGTCATTCTGAAGTAATTAATGGATACGGGTCTGAAATCAGTCCAGTGGTGCCCTGGGAACAGTTCTCATAGATTCCTGAGAGCTATGTGTTACATATTTAGGAATTTTGTGAGCTGATGTATAAACTTTGACTTTGAAATCAGTTATTTTTGTCACAGAAATGGGCAAATGCTACAAATCAGGGCATTTTTTGTTTTGTTTTGAGAAATTGGTTCACTAGCATACCATTTAATAACATAGGATTCTACTAGCACTGTGAGTATAGCTTCCAAACCCTCACATTTTAAATGGATAAGATCAGAATAAATGCTTTGAGTATCAGATTTTTTACCCCGTAGCATTTGTCTTGGTTTGATCAATTGTAATTAATATAGTTAGAACTGAGAAAGTTAAATTTCAAAGAATTTATTCCTAAATGTCAAAGTAGAAGAGAGGTTCTTTCCTAGCTTCCAGTGCTTTATCTGAGGATTTTGGAAAGAGAGCTCTTGTCTGGCTAACTGCAGATTATGAAGGCAGTCGCTGCGCCCAGATCTGGGAGTTTGTTTTGACGACTAGCTGAGATAGTTTGAGGAGGAATGGAAGGACATTTGGCTGGGGTCACAGAAGCCCATGACAGGAGGATGGAGGATTCCAGCGAGGGAAAGTTCATTTAAAAAATAAAACAAAGCAGAACAAAACATGGGTTCCAGGAAGGTTTGTAGGGTATGAGTAACCCCAGTGGCCAAGATGACATGTTCCTTTCATCCACAAAAGAATTTTAATTCTGGAACCCTAGCTCTTTATCTTGCCTTGAAACCATAAAGCATGCTTGTCTGCTGATAAGAATCATTCTAGTGGTAGTGGTTCAATTTAATAAATACTTAAACATTGAAAATTGTAATTTTGATACGTTATATCAGGTTATCAAATTTATCCTCCTGGTATTAAAGAGGGCACATTCTGTGTGGAGCACTGGGTGTTATGCACAAACAATGAATCATGGAACGCTACATCAAGAACTAATGATGTAATGTATGGTGATTAACAGAACAATAAAAAAATTAAAAAAAAATTTATCCTCCTAATGTTCTTTTTATGAAGAAGATATTGTCTCACTTACATTCGCTGTTTAATGTATTTATGATGTTCCTCTGTTAAGAAAATCCTCCTTTGAGCATCTTCGCAGACCCAGTTGGATTGCCTGCTGGATCCTGCTTATCTAAAGCAAAAGCCTGCATGAATGATAATGTAATTGTTCCTGATTGGGGTAGTTCTAACTCACCGGGTAGCTATTACCCTGTTTCCTTCACCACCTTGATAGTTACCTTTTGGGATTTTCAGAACTTATGGGGTTATTGATTGGAGTGGCAGTTTCAAAGGAAGGAAAGAGAAGGGGAAAAGTATGATTGAGAAAAATAATACATACATACATACACCCGTCCGTCCATCCATCCGTCCGTCCATACATCCATCCATCCCGGGACAGAGCAGAAAATCATATTGCCACAACTTAAGTTAGAGGCCAAATATGTATCCTACTTGAGTAAAACAAAGTAATGGTTTTCTTTCTGGATGAAGAGAAGCCTGTGTAAAAGGCTTTTTTGTACCAATTCAATTTTCTATTTATTAACTTCAATATTTGAGGCAAGTATTTTTCTATTCTTTATATTTTTTAATGAGCTGGCTGCATGGTAGATTAGAACTGAATGCTTGAGAGTCCAAGAAATCTGGCTTTTTAATACTGCCTTGAAAAATTTAGTTATTGTGACTTTGGGAAAGTAACCTAACTTCTCTGTTTTCTTGTCCGCACAATGATAGTAACAATCGTTATAGACAACCACAGGAGGTACTGATAAAGCTCTGAGTGCAATGCCTAGGAGAGTAGGCACTTAATAAATGGTTAGCTATCGTCATCCATAAATTCAAAAATGGATTAAAATGTGTGACCGGAATAGATAATATATTTTGATGATTTAGGAGCTGCTACTAGAGAATTGCCAAGTACTGTTTTTTTCTTCTATGAATGAAGCTGATATATAATAAGGTAAATTGGGTCTGATTGCTTGACGGTGGTGGTGGCAGCAGCAATGATGGTAATCTTTTCCTCTTTCCACACAGAATGTTCCCCCAGACCTCTCCATCTGCACCTTTGTGCTGGAACAGTCCCTCTCTGTCCGGGCCCTGCAGGAAATGCTGGCTAACACGGTGGAGAAGTCAGAAGGGGCAAGTACTTAATTTATGTATACTTGGAGTATTTTAATGAACTCTTTGACAGTATGAATGGTTTCGTTCATAGGTGTTGGAGGTTTTCTTTTTGCTGAAATTAAGTCAATGCATTTTACTTGTGATTTCCTTAAGTTTGACTTTCTGCTTTGTCCAGCAGACCTGTGACAGCTTAAAGAACTTAAAAAAAAAAAAAAAAATCCAGCCTCAAGGTGATGTGTGTCATGGATCCTCATGCTTATGTCTGTGGTTTAAAACAGAGTCTTTCTTGGAGCAACTTGTGTGTTTTCTTACGTTTTCAGAGCTGTTATTGTTACTATTTTAATTAATTGCTTTATGCATGGCTATTTGTCATTAACCTTTATTTCATTTTCAAATGCCTCTAACCATGTGACTATGTTCTAAGCTTCTTTATGGCAAGTAAAATTTCATGGCACTCATATATTTTAAGTAATAAAATTATGGCAATAATGGCTTTAATCAATTACAGTTTTGCAAACATCTAAGAGTTTTCTTCTGAAAATTGCAATTCTTATTCTGTCCCCTAATGACGACATTTTTCTTTGAAATCTGATTTGGTAATCTAAATTTTTTCCATGCTATAACTTGATATGACTGATTTCTGGGCTACTTTTGTTCTTAACCAATTCATTAGAGTTTAGAATTAAGCAGAGGATGGATGGCCAAATTTTGGTTTCTTGTCTTTTGTTTGCTTATTTTTTTGTACTATAATTACTGTAGTGTATGTTTTAAATGAAACTTAAAATTTTGTCTTACCATTATTGCACTATGTCTTACTGTTATGGTTTTTAATCATTGTTCTAGTTTCGATAGGCAAGAACATTGAAAAATAACACGTAGCTCCACAGAAAGTGAGTGATCAATTAGGATGTAACGTATTTTCATTAGCCTTCTAATTTTGAAAGATTTAGTTTCACACAAAATTTAATTGGTTTCTGCATTAATTCTAAATTCATTTTAAATGTTAATAGTACACTAGTATCAAGGAGAAACTTTAGTGATTTTTATTTGATATTAGAATAACAACTTGTTTTATGAAAGATCCAAATATATGTGTTTTAACTTTTCAAGTTCATTTTTGGTTACAAAAAGTTTGAAATTACTGTACTAAACTATATAAAATGTTTTTTTAAAATTTCTGTTCTTTAATCCAAAGCTTTTAGAATAGGCTTAAATAGAAGTAAAACATTTCTCAGTTCAACTAGTCATATTTCTACCTGGAATAACCTCTTCTGATTTTTAAACATTACTGAGGCATGTCAGCTTTGAAATTCAAATCTGTTTTTACAAGGAAAAATCATATTCTTTTGCCTAAGCATCCAGGAAAGTATGTTTTGGGTCATTTTACTTTGTAGATACCAGCTTATGGATGAAATGGACATAAATTTAATTTTTATATTGCTAAGCTAATTTTTTTAAATTTAATCACTTTGAAAAGATGTTTTATCCCCCTAAAATCATGGGGTTGACCTAGGCAAGCTCTAAATTTCCTGTGTGTCTAAGAAGTGTTAGAAATACGGTTTTAGGAGTTATGCTTTTAAGATATTTATTAGAATTTCTGCATCCTCTCCCTCATATTCTTATTTAGCTATATTTTATTTTGAATTGGTCCCCATCTACAGGTTTCTGTCAGTTTCTAAAGTGGCAATTTATGTGATGTGTGGAACACCATGTTTTAAAGCCCAGCATAGCTACCATAAGGCATTAATTAGAAAATGTAAGTTGAGAAGAATCTGCTACAGGGAAGGGACATCTTTCATTGAGCTGAATGTCACTTCTAGATGAGTAACTTTTAAGAGGAAACCGCTGTCCAATAGCTCAAGGGGATCCTATATTTTGGAGAAGGAAAGATACTCTCCTAGATCACAGAGGAGTTTCGATTATACCCTGAAATGATACTTCAAAATACTTAACAACTTTGGCACAGGTGTCAATCAGAGTGGATCTCAGCTATAATGCTAGAGGCTAAGTCCTGGAGAGATTTGGGGCTGGTCCCAGCGATGTGGGGGTATCCTGGGGTAGCCCTGGGGTGGTCAGAGGTAGGGAACACTTGGGATTTGGTGCCATGACTATTTACCAAGGAGGAGAGAAGATCTCCACCTTAGCAGCTGTCTTAATTGTAATAGTGTAAGATGGCTAGGTAGCATGTCTGATCATATGCTGTAGTGGGTGCTTTTCGCACTTGTAGGAGTCAAGTCTTTTGGACTTTATTAGGTACCCGTACCCTCATAACTAACTAGTTCTGCTTTGAATTCATTCTAGGAACCTATGGCAACCTTGATGTATGTCAAGCAAATTGTCATCTCCAACTTAATAAACTGTGGACAGTAGATTTGCTTAAACAAAGATCCACTTTTACTAGGAGGAAGTATATCAACAGAGTAATGGCGATTTTCATGAAATCATTTTTTTTTCCTTACAAATCACTGGTGTATCAAAAAGAACCTCACATATTACCCGATTCCCTAACTCATTCATAATCAACTTTATTTACAAAGCCTTGTCCTCTTTTAGAAAAGTAATTCTTTTGGGCACCTGGGTGGCTCAGTTGGTTAAGCGACTGCCTTCGGCTCAGGTCATGATCCTGGAGTCCCGGGACTGAGTCCCACATTGGGCTCCCCGCTCAGCGGGGAGTCTGCTTTACCCTCTGACCCTCCCCCCCTCATGCTCTCTCTCTTCCATTCTCTCTCTCTCAAATAAATAAATAAAATCTTAAAAAAAAAGTAATTCTTTCTGAATTCTTTGTGTAATTCAGTAAATTGCATAATACTATTTAATGTCCAAAATGTTGTCATATGCACATAACAATACGAACACACTTGATGATAAGGAAAAAATTCCATCTAGAACTGTGCCTTTTCTTTTTGTGGTTAACCTGTTTTGCTCATGTTCTTGGGTCTCTTTAAATAAATGCATGGTTTTCATAATGCTTCAGGAAAGTAGTAGCAAATTCCCAGCATCACTTGTGCCAAAACAAATCAAGAAAATTACTGATAACAAAAAGATTTGTGTAAGATGAAACAAGGAAAAATATTACCTAATTTATGAAGTTTTGATTCCATAAAGTTGCTTATTGTGACCATTAGTAAAATAACTAATATGTTTGTGGCACAAAAGCATTCTGAAGGATTTTCTCTAAAGGGATTTTCTAAAATATCTGTTTAATAAAAAAAAATGTATAGTAAGGCAGATCTAGATCATGCATATATCCGTTGAATACCATTTAGATTTTATTCTTATTCAAAGCATTATCAATATTAGAGGCTAAGACCCATTTATCTGAGTAGCTGCTCTTAGAGCCTTTAGAATTTTGAGGGTGGAGATAATACACGTACAACAAGGAGAAAATGACCACTGGAGCAGTGCCCGTCCCTTGGGGTGAATTTCACCTGGGCTTCTGTACATGGGCATCCTTGCTTCTGTTACTCCTGTCCTCTCCCTGGGTTTATGTGGTTCTGTGTAACTTGTCTGTTTGTGAACCCACATCTGTCTTTTCTCACTCTTCTGATTGCTGGTTAGAGAGCACGGGGCCAATAGCAGGGCTTTGTAGAATTAGAGAAATATTTTAAAATACCTGCTCTGCCGTGTATTCACTCTGTGGCTTTGGGGAAGGTAAGTCTTTATCGTCAGGTTTGGTGATGACGCATGTAGTCTATTGCTTGTATGGCATATATTTAACAGGGGACGTTATTATTATTCTACTTTTTTTCTCATCCCTGTATGTTCCATTGGTAGGACCGTTACTGATTTCTGACTGCCTTTTCCCTGGCCTTGGCGTAGTCCTCCTCTGCCATCTTGGCGGGTCCAGTTCTCTGTCTTCCTTCCTCCAACATCCCACCCTACTTCTGGCACATGGTTCTGCCGGTTTTTTTTTTTTTTTAAATAACATAATGTACTATTTGTTTCAGGGGTACAGGTCTGTGATTCATCAGTCTTGTACAATTCACAGCGCTCACCATAGCACATCCCCTCCCCAATGTCCATCACCCAGCCACCCCATCCCTCCCACCCCCCACCACTCCAGCAACCCTCAGTTTGTTTCCTGAGATTGAGTCTCTTGTTTCATTTTTCTCTCCTTTCCCCTATGATCCTCTGTTTTGTTTCTCAGATTCCTCATATCAGTGAGATCATGGTTCTGCCAGTTTAACGATGGCATAATTATGTTAAACTATAGAGTCACCGTTGTAGTGAATAAAGTTTAATGATTTAGGTGATCTTATCCTTTGGACTATTTTACTAATGTTAATTCACAGACCTTTTGGATGAACACTTTCTCCACATGGTTGTATGTTTTTTTTTAAGGTCTAGTTGAAGGATTCCATTTCATAGGAGCACATTATGAAGTGAGAGGGCACATAGTGTAGTGGAAAGAACTTTGTTTCTGAAGTCCGTGCAGTTTATTGAAAAGTCTTACTTTTTCAGATAATTTTAATAATTATCATTTGTTGAAAAGGCATTGCCTTTTTTTTTTTTTTTAATGCCATAAGTGTATCAAGTGGCTTGTATATTGTGTTTAGGAGACTGTGTTTTAAATTTGTAACATTTACTGGCCTTTCTGTCTTTCGGTTTAGTTGTTTCTGAAAGAATTCTAAGACCCTATCTCTTGGATTTGCCTTGTGTCCACTTGACTCTATTGGTTCCTTGTTGTTTGAATTTTATAGCTTGAACCAAGAAAAATTACCTAAAATTAAACCAGTATTTGCCCCTTCTACCCTGCTCTTTGGGCAAGTAGGTTGAAATTTATAATTCAGGTGATTATGATTGGTATCATTAATTTATGTCCGATTTTCCTCATATTGTAGGTAATTGGTAGTTTACTATAATTTAAATTATAATACTTTAAGTATCTATAACATTCAGAATGTAAAATATTAGGAATAAAATCATTCAGTTCTCATCATTATTTAATGTAAACTTATTGAACATTTATAAGATATACTTTAGAAGGGTCTTTAGATAGGAAGATGAATAATAAGTGA